AAAAATTCTGCCCGACTGTCACCAAAAAAAAAAATATGATTCCACAGCAGAACATCGTTTTGACACGCAGCCAAAACTGTATAATCTGCATTGTACAGGCCAAAAGGCCGCTGCTCAGTTACAGGCATGTTGCATTTAGTCTTTGGGCAGGGCACAATTGAGAGAAATTGGAAACAGCAGGAGTATGTGACCTAGCTCCGTGACTCAAGGTAATATTTCTGACAATAATAGAAATATCACAGGTTGGAAATTCAGTCACATCAAACCTTTAGCTCAGTGATCAAAACACAAAATGGCTTAATATTCTTTGGGAAGATGGTTAAAGAGAACTGTAGGGCTGACAAAGGGTTTAAGAGACCTGTGCCTGAGTTTACATGTAACAAGTGGAAGCTTTACCCATCACAAAACTAAACATGACAATAGGAGCACAAAAAAAAGCAAGTTGGGTTATTTGACTCAACTCTGTATATGCCACAGAAAACAAATCACTTTGTGTTAAAGTAGCAACTTGTTTTAGAGCTGCAGTGCAACAAGCTGGTTATTTTTTTTTTCACTATATTTGGGGTTAAAATTTCAAGGTATGAGTCACAAATATTTCCCACTTCCCGGTCTACCGAGACAGCAGCTGCTAGCAAGCATTTATCCACTTGCTGGCCTGATTAGCAAGGCATCAGCTGGTGCTTTGAGTATGACTGCACAACCACAATTTTTTGGTCGAGGAGGGGGGGGCAAATTTTGTTGACAAAAATAAAAATCAACGGGCTGATTGTGAGTCACGGTGTCACCTCTTCCTTTCTGAAATCTCCAGATGGCTGTTGTTGGGCCCGTTTCCCTGCCAACTGCCCAAAGACAGCTGGCAATATGTCAATGAATACGTGCACATGTACTCCCCATTTTTCCACGATGTGGACTTGCGCCAAAAGGTTTGTTTCCGTCTCCAGTTGTGACAGATATGACTACATAGAAAGTGGTACAGTACATACCGGTAACAGTGTGCCCTGCATTTCAGGTTATTGGGGTTCACTTTGGGCTGGATTTTAAGTACAAGTACATGTAGCTCAGGGTATTTGTAAACAAATTTCGGGTTTTGTTAACTCTTACGTTGATCAATTGTGTAGTCCTGACCAGACACAAGACCATGCACAAGACCGGTCACAGTAAACAGGGTGAACAACGACAAAGGAATACTTGTGTTGCAGTTCATTTGAATTGCTTGTGACTTGAATTCAGACAGGAGGCCTTGTGTTGGTCTTGTGCTAGTCTTGCGATGGTCTTGTGTTGTCTTCTGGGGGGCTTGTGATGGTGGTCTTGATTACAGGACTGAAGGGATACATGTAAATTCCATCTATAATTGAAAGGTACGTGTAACTCCAACATAGTACAGCCAACACCACATGAGGCCCATGGGTCCCATTTCAGGTGATTGGAGAAAATGAGCTGTGGAGCATTTGTGTGCTTTAACAATCAGCTTTGAATCAACTACAAGAACAAAATTTTGCTGCTGAGCTGTCTTTGCTTAGTTGAAATCCTTCATGCTTTAACAGGTTTATGATGCAGGTCAGGGATACTGACCTCTGGACAGGTAGGTCAATTCTTGCTGGGCTGAGACGGGTCACGGCAAACAATTTCACGCAACGCCACCATGTTTCTGACCCGGTTCCCAGCCGAGTTTGGCCCACCACATACAAGTGCTAAGCTCTATTCTGAGCTCTGTGAAATTCGTCCCAGATGGTAGCGGACTGGGGGGGGGAACACCCACAAGATTGCAAAATAGAAGAGAACGTGAAGAATACCATTTCTCACTTGTGCCTGGTTGGAGATAACTTCCTGAAGGCACAACACATGCTCCCTGGATCAGAGGAGAGTCGAAAGGACTGACCTGGAACACTTGTTGGGTAATTCCTTAAAGCCACAGTGTCCAATAACTGATCTGCCTTTCCTGGCTACGGAGGGGGGGGAGTTAGATTGCTGCTTACAGCTCTCTTCGATTGTTTTAACTCAACAGGCTGTTGGCCATTCTTGGAGGGGAGACAGCCAGTGTTTCCAATTGATGACATCAGATGTTTGTTATCTATTAGTGTACAAATGCTCTGATGATGGTATTTTACAACTTGTGTGGCCCGTTGATCTATAAACAGCCAGGAGGTGACTGCTGCCAGGTTTGCACTACCAATGAGAAATGGCAACAGTGTAGCAGATGGCCTACTCTATGTACAAGTCCCTTTGCTTTGTACAGGTACAATGGCATTCGTTCCAAAATGACTTTGAAAGTTCGGCATGCAATTCCATTCCACTGACCTATCCACCGTTAGTTGAAGTGCACTCTCACCGGTGAAAGAAAGACAGATTGGTACGATGTTTTCCAACAAATTTGTTGCACGTACTCGGCGTGCTCCGTGTCAACATGCATAAATTTGTGCACCTATGTGGAGAGTTTGTACCAAAAGACTGTCCATTTCATGCAGAACACGCCCTCTGTTGTTCCCGCTCAAAGCGGACAGAAGCTGATGTAACTGTAACACTAGTCAGAACTGAAAATAATGTTAAAAAAAGCTTTATCCAGCTGAAAACATCTTTGAATTATACTTGAGTATAATGCAATTAAACGTGAATGTTCTAAATACAATCCAAGCACCAAATTCCATGCAAAATTGTAAACGCAAAGATGGTATCTCCATCTCTTGCATTTGTGTTCGTAGATTCAACAGGTAAAGCAAGCATTTTGGGCGTTGGGGTTTATCTTAGTACCTTGGACCTTTTTAAGCCTTCCAAAAGAAATTTGAAACAAAAATGTTTTAAAACTTGAGGAGGATATCAGGCATGGAATGTAATCCAGCCCAACTGCTAAAAGCGGAAAGAAAAATGTCAACTTCATGAACGAAAACCAAAAGGGTAAAGTTCTCCAAAGTCTCACTGATTAGAAGCCGGAGGAGCTTGGCTGGCCTCAGCCCAAAATCTCCTGCAAAGTCCCTCTTACACAAACTCCTCTGATCACTGGGGGAAGCAAAAATGCCAAGAGGAAACGTGAAGGCCAGGCTGTGCCAAAGTCTGGCTGAGAACGGTATTCAGAGACAATGAGGGATTGAAAAAGAAATGGCTCTATAAAAAGTATGTTGGTCTGCTGTGATAAAAAGAAACAAACGGAGAACGGTCCTGATAGCCAGATCAGCTTGGCAATCTCCTAAATGGAGTGGACTGGCCTGTTTTTCGGCTCAGAAAGAAAAGGGGGAAAAGACTTGGCAGATCTGGAACACTTGCGGCTCAATGCTACTGTCTTAATCAACCAGGCCAGATAAAGGGAAGATTCAAGGAGAAGAAAGTTCAAGACAATGGACGAGACATTAGCTCTAAGATCGGACTTTCGAAACCCTGGGCTGGAAATAGTCAGTTAGCACCTCCCGAGATCAACGGCTTTCAAATGGTGCCAAGGGGAACCTCCTCAGCATGCTATCCAGCACTGTGATTGGCTGAACAGGTGGGGCATCCTAAAGGACCCAGACACCCACTCTTCAAAGCGTTCCTTAAAATTCTCAAAGCTTTCAACTGCAGCCTACATGTTCAATGCACTCAGGCAAGCTGTGTCATCTTCTAAATGGTTTAAGAATATGTATGAAATCAACTTGACCCATTTACAAATCCCCAAGTTTCCAAAAATGTCCAACAAGCCGCTCGTTCTGTCACCATCAAACTTTCCTTTGATAATTCTGCCAAGACATTTGACTAAATACTGCAGGGTGAGAGACGGAGTTTCTGCTTGCGCCATTCCTCGCTAAAAAATCAAACATTCCAGTGGAATCTGACGGAACACTGGCTTGGATTTGGATGGGTAGATGCCAGAATTTATAATGCTATTTGTTATCGTGTAATAGGAGATCTCATCACAAAAGGATGTACGGTGTGTGTGATTGACAGCCAGAATTCCTCATCAATGCAGAATTCATAACACTGAGAAAACTGCCTGAAGATTAGCCTCTTTTCAGGTGAGATACATCCAAATCTAAGGTATATTTTGTTTCAACAGGCAACTTCTAAGAGAAATTCGGATTGTAAATTAGAAAAAGTTATTCTCTGTGACTTCAGTGCAAGTTTCTTGGTCGCAGCATGTATCTAGGCAATTCCGCAACTTCCACACCTTTTATAACCCCCCAAAAAGGGGTACAAGTATAGATTTGCGATGGGACAACTATTTGGACATTCAGCTATTAAAAAAAGCAGCTGTTACAGGAGCTGATTTAGGAAAAATGACAGGCTCTCTAAATCCGGGATAAAGATAATCACAACAGCATATTCGCCAAGCCAAGGAAACCAGTACTGAGCCTGGTTGCCTGAGTGATGGAGCAGCACGTGTGACGACCATCACAGATTAATGCGTAACGACTGTAACACTTGCGCGCACTGCCGTTTCATCTTATCTTCTGCGTGTCTTACAGGGGCTGATGACGCTGTTGGCCTAGCGCCTCCCTGAAGAGGACCAAGGAAACACCTTCTTGTCAGTGGGGAAGACTTCAGCCAAGGTGTAAATTAGATGGCCCATTTTAGGGGCGCAGGGGTTTTCAGGGCGCTGCTTGGGAACCTTGGGGATGGCAGATTTCACAGTGACTGGTTATACTGTGGTAGTTTGGATGGTTTACTATTTTGAAGTGTGGAGAGTGGGCCAACAGGTTGATGCACAGACACGGATGTGTCCACAGGCAGGCCACTTTATAACAATATGAAAAATTGAAATGGGACTTGCTGAATACTTGACCCTGCAACGGGTGTTCATATTGTCCAGTGTGTGAAGAAATATCTCATGAACGAACATACAAGCAGTTGAGACTATTTGGGAGGTTTGGGTAAACAAAACGGAACTCAAAGATTGACGTATGAGCACGTTGGTAAATAAGACTGATTTCTGTGAAAACTGCAGGTTTGATTGGTTTCTCAACTGCTCGGCAAGAAATGGCTTTAAATTTAAAATCTTCACCTTTAATCAGAAATTATGAAACTGCAACACAAAATATAAAAAATCAACAACAGGTGTACATTTATCTACAAATGATTCAGCAATGAAGTATAAACCACTATGATTCAAACTTAATTCATTAAAACAAGACTGGCACTCAACATAAACAAAATTTAGATAAAAGAGGGAAAAATCTTGAAGTGCAAAGCGAGGATCAATGCAAATGAAAAAAACAAATGGCTACAACTATTCAAATACCTCCGATATCGTTAAATAGCACCAATGGAAGTCCAAAGCATTTCAGAGGGGTCAAGGGGCGTACCATCGGCCGACCCTCTCTTCACGGGTCGATGAAGGAGACAAGGATGTAGCGCGTCCCCTTGGTGGTCCGCAGTCCCTCGTGGAGGTGGGTCAGCCGGCCCGGGTGCATCAGTAGATGGCCCGCCTCCAAGCCTACCACACTGCAGTTGTAGCGGATGAATCGGGCTCCGCCTCCCTGCCGAAGAAAAAGAACAGAAACTGTGACTCTGTCCCCTCTCCTGTTCGGGTGGGAGAACGTATTAAGGTTTGTAATTACCAATCATACGGGCGGGGGTTAGAATCCAACAGCTGGGAATACACTGTGTCCTTGGGCAAGCCACTTTACCCAAACATATATTTCCGTCTCTCCACTAAGGACTGAGAACGCGTACCCCATGTGTGAGGGCAGAGTGTGCATGAAGTGTTAGCATGATGCTGTATACTCCCAACAAGCTGAGTTGGGTGTTTGGGAATGTTTACACAGACATGATGAATAATAATGACGCAGGTTCCTGGATCATTACTCAGGGTAAGCACACAATGCGACTCCACAGTACTCTTCATACTTTAATACCTAGGGCAATTCATCCAATCTTGTTGGTCCACAGCCCATCGTGGGGCCTGTCTATCTTGATAAAGCACCGGCTGGCTATGTATGACCTTACACAGTAAGTGTCATACCCACCAATCTCCAAATAAGGAGATGTTTGCAAACTTGTGGTTTCGAAAAGCACATCAAGCTAGTCAAGTCCTGTGCAACATGGAACAGTCTTAGAACTAAAAGATCACTCCCCCCCCATTCAAAGTACATGCTCCTCCCACTGCGTCCTCGTCAGATTGTGAACAAGTCTGGCAAAGGTTATCAAGTCCCGCCCCCACGGGACCCCAGTTATGTCATATGATCCTCCCCGCCCCCTTTTCACCTTCCTCCACATCTCCCATGTCTCTCAGTGACTCACTGCACAGTCATGTTTGCCTCAGCTGTGTGTAAATATTCTAGGTTGACAGCCTGGCAAACGCACTACTCTGACCAGCTGTGACCCAGGAATGACCAACTGATTCCACAGAGGATGTAACAGCAGTAGACAAGCTTGGGAGGGGGCTAAAGGGTGGCCCGAATAGCTTACACCATCTCACTGTCTGCCGGGAGCAATTTAGCAACTTGGATTGTGAGCTGAAGATTATGACAAAATGAAGCGAGTCGTTCAAGCTGCAGGGTTGTATCCATCATCGATTCTTCCGGATAGACAGCTGGTTTTATGAATAAGTGGTCAGCCTAGCACCCTTGGTGAGTAATGGGCAAGATATCTGGGTAGAATGTGGTGGAGAAATTACCAGAAGTGCACGGTCACTAAAAAGATGAAGTGCCTGATGATGTGCACTTTTGCCCTTGATACGGAAACTGCTTCAAATTTAGTCCCGGGTTCTCTCAAAAATAACATTCGTGGACAGGAAGCCAAGAGATTTCAGTGACAGATCCTGCAGAATATGAGATGACAGTTCTTCAGCATGTCTGGGGTTCAAATCCCAAAGAGCTGTTATTGTCTGGGATGTTTAGCCTCTCTTAATGTTTACCTTGTTCAGTACATCTTGGATTTATGCACATCAGGTACAGGGCTCACAGAAGTAACTCTACATGTGATATTCTTTGGACTTGCTGAATGGCATTTCTTTTGTTCCACATGTCCAGGGTTCGAATCTCACCAATATACATGTACATCCATTGACCCATTCTTAGAATATTAAGATTCCTGAATTTCTCTCTCATCTAAAATGTCCAGGGATTGAATTTTAATAAGATTCCTGAAGTATTCTTAGGACATTCAAAGTCTTGAAGTATTTCTTTTGTAAAACATGCCCAGTGTTCAAATCTCACTAAAGAAGTGCGGATGACCCCAAAATAAGCCAAGGGTTGGTAAACCAATCTGAAGGTCATTTTCACCACACAGCCATAGGGTTTCAATTGATGTGACAATTTTTAGCCACCATTCCATGGTGAAAAAAAACGCCCTTCTGGGCCTGATTCAGGGTACACAAGGACCAGAAACGAGATATTTTTTCAAGTTGGCCTTAGTCACTCCCATGTACCACTTCTCTCAGTGCCATTGACCACTGACCAGATGACGTCAGTCCCTAATTCTGCAGCAAAAAGATTCTTTATATGCGTGACAACTCTTCAAAAATCTTGGGGATGCTGTGACGAGATCAGACACTGGAGAGAACAAAGCGTTTGGCCCGGGAGGAACAATTCGGTCCTCCTCTCCCTTCTTTCATGCCTCGCTGTGCTCCCACAAGAGAGAAGCTCAGGAGTTGGAAAGTCCTTGAACTTTCTTGACTTGCCAATCATCATCGTTTTGCTCCTTCCCTCCTGGTTTGTGTTTTGGATGGGCTGCGGAAATCTGGATTATGGGTAGTCACTTGGGGGGGGGGAAGCAGAACCTGACATCTGCATGTGAGCTGTTGATTTTTTTTTTCTGGTCTCACTGCTGGAAGGGAACAGTTACCATGCTGATGGGTGGAACTGGATGGCTCATGTTATCATTTTGGAGGTCCTGTCTGATTCCATGAGTACAGGGGGTGCATTCACATGTAGGATGACAGTTTTCCATTGGGTAGAGCAAAAATGTCAGGAAGTCTACAAACGGGGGGAGTTATCTGTGGACTACCCATGAGGACCAGTGAAAGTCCCTCTGAATCTGTGCACTGATTCATGTGGTACCAGTGACGTTTTCAACTGAATATACACATGAGCTGTGCTAATGTGTTAATTAACACCAAGACTTTATTTCTTCACTCTTTATTGCCAGGGGGCTTCTGAACCAATCAAAATTCTGCACCCTCACACAAGCACGAGTAAATCTAGCTCATTAACCGATTCCTGCACAACTCACACACTGCACAACTGAACTAGTTATTATCCCAAGTACCCACTCTACAAAGACAAAATTCTTTGACCAGGGACCTTGAAAAGCAGCCCGGAAGACACGTAACCCTAGCAGGTCCAAGTGAAACCATATTTGTTCTGCCTTTGTGCAACACACAATCCCACAGCACAGGCAAAGATAATCAGTGAGTCATTTCAGCGGTGCATTTCAACTATTAGATCACACAAATGAAAACACTTTCTTTACGAATGGAAACATCATTCAGCTAGTCCTTCAACACTTGAACTATTTTTGATAACCCATTTATGTACCGGGGTACCCAACAATTGCATAGGTCGTGCACAACCTTATGGAAACCGGTTCAACTCTCCGTGGAAAGTGAAGTTCACCAAATGAATCTGACGAATCAATTTCTGAAGCGGTCCCTTATTAGTTTCCCTTTCTCCAAACCTCCCTTCCGCTCCGTAGATAACCTAATATCAAGATGTTACTCAGAATTTGAGAGATTCAGATCTGTGAAGTCACAACTGACGTGCTGGTGATTTCCCCGCCCACTCCTGGTATCCTGAAGGTGGCTGATGACACACTCTTCAGCCGGGGATAACGGAACTGACACAACATCGGTTCCCATCTTTGGCAGATCCTTTGAGTGAGTTCAGCTGATCTTTTCCGGAGTTTCGGAGACACCCCTATCCCGTCACGGGGAAACCCTCTACTTCTTCCATCTCAAAGTTCCAGGAGGATGCAAAGCTGTATCTACACATGTACATGTAACCCGTAAAGCAACGTTTTCAAGCAGCGTTTGTATATAAAATTTGTATACAACAGAGTGGACTGCAATTACAGTGGACTGGTTGTGAGAGGAGAATCAGGGGTGAGACTGAAGAAAAAATGACATATCCACGAAATAATCACCAGAAGTTTGAGGGTCCCACAGTAAACATAAATTTGCCTACGTTTATCAGCACCTCTTAAAATCCCTATTTCTTGTGCTTAATAAAAAAATAAATGAAATAAAATGAAACACAGAATTTCTGGATTTTAATAGAGATTGTTTAAAAAATCCTGAAATCGTGTAAAATTCTGACGACAAAGATCCTGAAATCAGGAAAAATCCTAACAAATCTCAACCTTCGTCCAAGAAACGATAATAAGCATTGACTTTCAGGGCTTTTAAATTCTAACAAAGGATGGAGTTCTTGCACGAATGGCTTTGCCTGCAGTACTTGTACATGTACAGTATGTGAATCTTGCATTGTTTTGGTTCTTCAAAAGAAGCAAACCTTCAGTGATTCAGCTTCCAACAGTCATCATTTGAGGGTCAGAAAACTCAAAATGCAGAAGATTCTGGACAAATTATGCTCTTGGCTTGGAAGGTCCCTCAGTGACAACTGTTTCATTTTTCGCTGTCCACCCCTGAACGATACTTGATGAACACTAACTTTCAAAAGTTCCTGACCAATTATCCCGGTGAGGCTTGCCCGTAATCATCAGCAAATCCTGGGTGAGATTTGATGACAGGTAATCAGCCCAAACAGCTGGTTCAAGTTCTTCAAGAACAGAGACTCAGTCTAAGGCGCTGCATAGGTAAGACCAATAAAAAAATTGCCCACTCATCCTGACAGGAGCGCTTCCCTCAAACAAGACTTTCTCAACAAAAGACAATAAATCAAAGGCCAACATGAGTAAAGGAGGGTCGGGGGAGGGGGTAACCGAAATTATCTCAGGGGTACAGTCTCGGCAACCCCTTGCGACTCCCTTATTGCTCCCCTG